CTGAGGAAGGGGCTGGAACGGTGGCTGGCTGAGGTCCTCTTCCTCCCACGTCTCCCAACCTCGTAGTTACTCTAAGAGTTGCATGATTGACAGCATCTGCTCCATAGGGTTATTGCGCGATCACGCGATTGACGGTGTCTGCCTCCTAGAGTTATTGGGAGGTTGACAAGAGCGCCAGCATCTGCCCCTAGGGTCACGGTGAGGCCTGAACTGTTCATCTGTGGAACGCGCTCTGCGTGACGCCAGACAGTAACTGAGTGTGGGGTAATCGGAAGCTGGGGCCCTCTCCGGCATTCCTGAATTTCAGGGTCCTATTCCCTTGCCCAGTGAAGGCCATTATCGGGGAGCTCCCCAGGTGGGCAAGCCCAGGCTCGACCCCGGAGCTGCCCTGTTCCTCCCTGCCTGGCTCCCTTCCCATCACTCCGCCCCACCCACCGCCTGTCCTTCAAGGGGCCCCTTCCAGGTATCCAGCACCCTGCCAGATGCTGGGAGGAGGGCATAGACGGGCATGCTGTGTCCTCCTCACAGGGGAGCGGGGCGGTACGTCAGGACACAGGTTGCCCTGGCCCCAAGTGCCAGCCCTGTCACTCAGCAGCTGAGGGAGACAGGGCGTGTCCTCTCCTCTTTCTGACCCTCTCTAGAACAGGGCTGCTGGTGTCTGTCCGGGCTTGTGGACCAGTGGTCGCCAAGCCCACCGTGCGTTGATCAGTGGGACGTTCGTTAAGGCCAGGTTCCCAAGCTCACGCCACCTGACACATCAGACCCTTGGTGTGCCGGGTCTGTGAATCTGCATCTCAGCCTACACCAGGGTTGGGGGGACAAGAGTCTGACTCCTCGGCAGGTTTGGGCACTTCTGACGGGAGCTCTTGTGGCATCGGGGCACGTCATGTGGAGTGTGGGCCATGGGCTGGCAAGGACTCGGGTTAGCCCTGGTGGGAGATGGGCAGTGAGGTCCAGCTTCGGGGGAGGCGTGTCGAGGGGGACCGGAGTGTCCCGGGTCAGGGAAGCGAGTCCCGGCTCTGGGACAGTGCGGTGAGGTGGGCCGCATGTGTCCCTAGCCGCTGTATGCAGATGAAGAAGAAGAAAGGAGCAGAGACCGTGTCCCCACGGCCCCTGGCGGGAGAGGGCAGAGGCACCCGCCTGGGGAAGGGTTAACCCAGAGCCGTCCAGTCCTGTCCTCTCAACTTCCACCTCCATCCTCTGAGGAAATGACTTTTCCAGGAGCTTGGACTGGGCCGGCGGTGACACCGTGGCTCCACACGGGATGGCAGAGGAAGTGACTCAGGCCACCCGGGGGAAAGTGAGCCCTGGGTCCCCTGCCCACCCCAAGAGGGGAAGGGCTGGGCCCAAGCTGGAACTGGAGCCCCGTCGTGGGCAGCCAGCCCTGGCTGGGGAGAGGGTGAAGGTGTCTTGGTTCAGACGCCCCCGCTGCCCTCCGCTGCCGAATCCCCAGGGACGCTGTGTTGGCAGGCCAGGCCAGGCCGTTGTGTCCTGTGTGTGTTTACGGAAGGCCTGAGGTCCGAGTGGCTCTCTGGAAGGGGAACTGGGGGTGGGGACTCCCTGGGCTGCTTGGCCCCAGCACCTTCTCTCCCAGGCTGGAAGTGTCGGCGCTGCCTGGGTCTCGGCTGCTCCCCATTTTTCTCTCCTTCTCTTTGGGGACCCCCCCAGCCAGGGATATGTGCATGTCTGAGACCCTCACCAGTGCAGCTCCACGGGGATGGCAGGGCTGGGCACCACCCCCGTGGGATCCTGGAGCTGGCGCCCTTCCCCAGTCTCAGTTTCCTAATCTGTAAAATGGTGACACAGTAGGACCCGCCCGCCTGCCGGGTGGCTCTGAGGACTTAGTGTGATGACACAGACCATCATGGTGTGGCTGGAACACCCACTTCCCGGCAGCTCCCCTTAGCCCTGGCCCCGTGCGGTGTGAGGTGACGGTGAGCCTTGCCTGAGCTGGCCTTGTTCATGGCTGAGGCTGCCGGCTCCGAGGTTCTGAGCTCCAGAGGCCAGAGTTGGGTCCCTGCAGCCTGTTCTGTGCCAAGGCTTGGGTATGGTCCCCGGCTCCTGGTCTGGGCTCCCTTCCCCTCTGGAGCCAGGGCCCCTTGGTGGCTGAGCAGGAGGGAGGCACTGAGCTGGTGACGGGGCATTCAGAAGCCCTGCTGGGAGGCCTGGGGCAGCGGCCTCCACTGTGGACACGGCCCTCTGGGTCGGAGATGGGTAGGTGGGTGTGCACGGGGGGGGTGAGGGAAGCAGGCATGGGGGGCACATGGCAGGGGACAAGCAGGACAGGCCCTCCCCTGCCCAATCTGGGCTGGAGCCTGGTCCCCTGCCTAGCCCTCCTGCCCGCGGGGGCTTCTCCGGGAAGTTTTCTGGGTGGGGTTTCAGCCTTCCCGGAAAGGAAGCTTCATGCGCTAAGAATTTCCCCTCTAGGTGCTCCGGGTGGGGGGTGAGCTGGCCTCCTGGGGCATGCTTGAAAGGGGAGGAGGGGCCTGTGACAGGCCCCAGGGTCTGAGCTAGGGGCCAGCATGGGCTGGTCAGGAAGTATACAGGGACATTTAGCTGACATCTGTAGCGCCTGCCCTGCACGTGGCCCCGTTTTAAGACCTGTGCAGTTGTCCATTCATGGAACTCTCACAGTGACCTGTGAGGTGGACTTGATTTTTATTCCCCTTTACAAGGGAGGAAGGTGAGGCCCAGAGAGGGTGAATAACTAGCCCTAGGACACACAGCTAGTGACTGGGGGAGTCAGGATTTGAACTCAGGCAGTCTGGCTCCAGCGTCTACCCTGATAGCTAAGGGTGGGTTAAAGGAAGCCAGGAAGCCCCTCCTGCCAAGACTTAAAAATGCTGATGGGTCCAGAGTGTCTACTTTGGAGTGACTGTTCAAGCAGCCAGCTGGGGTGGGGATGGCTCAGAAAGGGTCCAGGGCAGTGGGTCCCTTGTGTGTGTCTGAATCCCTTCCATGGCACCCCATGGAGGTGCAGCTTCACTTGTTTCCTTCTAGTGATGGGGAGTTCACTCCCTGGCCATTCCTCCTCTCAAGGGCCAATCCAGGAGGGTTACTGTAAGACTGCCCTGCAGCCTTGCCTGCCGACAGTGAGGGCTCCCTCTGAAGGTCAGTTGGCCAGAGAGAGACACGAATGCTGGCCAGCCCCTCCCCTGCTTAGTGTGTGACCTCAGGAAGTCATTGGTCCTCTTTGGGTCTGGGATCCAAGCACCATAAAATGGAGACTCTGAACCAAATTCTCAAAGCGTTCTTTCAGCTTTGCGTTTACAAGGGGAGATTGGTGGTCACAGTGAGGGGGCTGCCTGGAGGAAGTGGCCTTCAGACTGAGGTTCAGAGATGGACGGTGATGAGATCGGCAGGAAGGAAGGAGGAAGAGGGTCTCTGGGAGGAACATGCTCCCTGTCCCCGGATTCTGGTTTCCTTCTGCTGGTCTGGGGTAGCACGGCAGGAGGTGGTTTCTAAAGGAATCAGAATGCTGAGACGGGCCTGTGAAACCTCACAGATTGCAAACTTCCCCCAAACGCACTCGTGTTCTACTTCTCAAGAGGCCCTGGGATGCCACGGGGCAAGATGATGAGCCCGTTTAACCTGTAACTAGACTGACAAAACCTGGTGGCACAAGGGACTGACTCTGGCTTGAAGGGCCAGGTTCATTCAAGGGAAGACAGTGAGCATCCACCTGGGACGCCCCTCCCTTTAATGCTGCTGTCAAACATTCGGTTCAAAAGCTGCCTCTTCCTGAAAGCTCTCCTTGGTTTCTCCCCAACGCAGACTCCTCGCGTGTCCCTGGGTTGCCAGGCTTCCTCTGGCTTGTTCCTCTGTCACTGCGGCTAGTTGCTGCTTTCCACAGGATGAGGTTGTCTGCTGTGTCTGTGGGCGCCCCACTCTATCACAGCACCAGCGGGCGGCAGGGAGGGCCAAGCCACCGTCAGCTCTGTAAGTGCCAGGCCCACAGCTTCCCTGCTGGGCACTGCAGCCCTGACCAGGCAGGGAAAGCCCCAGACCTCCGGAGCATTCTCGGACGAGTCATTTATTTAACCCTTTGGGCCTCAGGTTCCCCCTCTGTGAAATGGGTGGACAGTAGTGCCCACCCCACAGGGTTGCAGCTGAGAGCTCATGCAGGTGCAGGGTTGGGACGGGTCTGCACAGAGGCTGGCAGATGATAGGCGCTCAGCTAATAAAGGACGTGGGGGGAGCAAGGGTGCCCACTCAGTGCCGGGATGGGGAGCCTGCCCCCTCGTTGGGCAATGCCGAGTCCTAGTCCCCAGCAGCGACGGCGACGTCCTTCTGCAGTCTTGGGCCCGGGGAGCGGGCTCCCCCTGGCGGTCGTGATGGGAAGCGCCCTTCCCTCCGGCCCCTGCAGAGGGCGCCCAGGACGCGCGGGTCCTCAGCCCCTTCGCCCGCACCCTCACAGCCCGTAAGCAGCCTCTGTGCCCCGGGGCCCTGAGAGCTCCCCTGTGGCCCAGGAGGACACCCACCATCCCACACTGCCTGGGGGAGACCAGCAGTGGATTCCGGCCAGTGGCGAGAACCAAAGGAGGTTTGGACCGAGTCGGGAGGGAGTTGAGGAAGACTTCCCGGAGGCGGTGTCCTCTGAGCTGGTCTCAGGGACGAGGATGGGGAGGGGGCTGGGAGAACTCCGAGAGCCCCCTTTTCCTCCACAGGGACAAGGTGGGGTGGTCCTAAGTGGAACCCTCGCCACCGGGTTCACTCTGCATCCAGGTCCCATCCTGAGGGCCTGGCCCAGGGTCCTGCAGCAAGTGGAAGGTGGGCCTCGAGCTTGTGGGCTCTGGACTGCCACCACCTCTTGTTACTCAGCTTCTGGCCAGCTGGGGAGGGCCACGGGCTGTTTCCACACTTGCTCCCCACCTTGTGGCCCACATCCATGCTACACTGGCAGGGCCGGCCCAGTCATGCATGGCACTGTCCAGGCTCCCAGCTGAACTTCCTGGCCTCTTCCAGGTGGACACTTCTCAGGGTCACTCTGTGGGAGGAAGATGGCTGCCCACGTGCTGCTGCAGGCGGTGCTGCTCCTGCTGCCTCTGCTCTTCCAGGTCCAAGGTGGGCTTTCCTGGGGGCACCCTGGGAGTGTGGGGACTTAGGTGAAAATGCCCCCGTGCCTAGGGCAGCTGCCAGTGCCCCTGCTACCTCCTTTGGGCAGACCTGGCCTGCAGGCACAGCTCAGCTAGTGGATCGTACCTTGGAGAAAAGAAAAAGGCACTCCTCCCTTCTGGCAGGTGCAGCCCAACAGTGCATGGCTTGGGGTGGGGAACGTGCATTGGGTGTCCACCCCGCTCGCCTCTGCAGCCAGAGCATTCTTGTGCAACGTACTGCCTGCACAACTGTCTGTGGCAGCCACAGCCTTATTAAATATTGCTGTTGAAAATAGTTTTTGCCTTTGAAATGACTGTTAATTTTCAGTTTACTCTTTTCATATTTTGAACCCAATAATTTTTTTTTTTTTTTTTTGAGTTGGAGTCTCACTCTGTCGCCCAGACTGGAGTGCAGTGGCCGCAGCCTCGACCTGCTGGGCTCCGGCGATCCTTCCGTCTCAGCCTTCCAAGTAGCTGGAACTACAGGCGCGCGCTACCATGCCCAGCTAATTTTTTGATTTATTGTAGAGATGAGGTCTCACTAAGTTGCCCAGGCGGGTCTTGAACCCGCGGGCTCAGGCAATCCACTCACCTCAGCTTCCCAAGGCGCGGGATTACAGGCTGAGCCACCGAGCCCGGCTGAACCCAGTAATTTTTGAGCAGGAAGGACTTACACATCCTTGTAGACCCTTTGCAATGTAGGTCCTTGGAATGGGTGTGAGTCCCAGGCTCTGGGCCCATGTGTTCTTCGCCCAGGACTTGTCCCCTCCCGTGCCTCTGGCCGGTCCCTGCTGCAGGGACCCATCTGCAGCCTCTGCCTCCTCAGGTGGCCACGGCGGAGGGCCCAGGGAAGACTTCCGGTTCTGCGGCCAGCGGAACCAGACGCAGAAGAGCAGCCTCCACTATGAGCAGACTCCCGAGCTGCACATCACCATCAGGAACTCCGAGGACAACCTCACCATCCGCGCCCCCTTCCAGGCAGCCCCCCAGGCTTCCCGACACTTCCCAGACCCCAGAGGCCTCTACCACTTCTGCCTCTACTGGACCCGACACACTGGGAAGCTGCATCTTCGCTATGGCAAGAACGACTTCCTGCTGAGCGACAAAGCCTCTGACCTCCTCTGCTTCAGGCACCAGGGGGAGAGCCCGGCCCCGGGACCCCTGCTGCTGGCCACCTCAGTCAGCTCCTGGTGGAGTCCACAGAACACTAGCCTGCCCGGCGCTGCTGGCTTCACCTTCTCCTTCCACAGTAAGGCGCTTCCGGGCAGGAGGGATGGCTTGGGCAGAGGCTGGAGGAGGCTGGAGCCAGGGCTGGCAGGACACAGAGGGGGCTGGCTCTCGGGGCGGGTCACGGTGCCTGGGATGCTTCTTACAGGCAGTGAGGAGCCATCCAGGGCATCTGGGGAGGGGAGGAGTGTGACCAGAGGTGCACATCAGGAAGCTCTGTGAGGGTAAGGGCGGAGGGGCAAGGACTATCCCGAGGCTGCAGGGAGGGTCTCCGAGAAGGAGAGTGAGAGAATGCGGGGGGAGAGGGGAGAGCAGATCAGGAGCCTGACCTCATTTCGCAGAAAAGGAAACAGGCACAGAGAGGCTGCCTGAAGTTGCACAGCTAGCAAACGGGGGGCCGAGCCAGGATGTGAACCCAGCAGCTGTCTGGTGTCGGGGGTGGGGTGGAGGGTAGTAAAAGAGGTCAAAGGCCAGGAGAGCATTGAGGCTGGAGTCTGGAGGCTGCATCTTCTGCCTGGGGTGTGGCAGGTACAGTGCAGCCACGGTCTCCCCTTAAGTGCTGACCCATGGGGAGGCGGGGAGGAACGCCAGGCTTTACTGGGGGATTCTGATTCCTTTCCAGCATCTCAAGTTCATAGGGGGGCTCCCAGGGCAAGGGACACAGCAGTTTATGTTAGCAGGTCGAGGGTAGGGAGCAGCTCCTGGCCAGGTGCCGTGCAGCAGGCAAGGCCTGGGCAGTAGGATGGAGGGTCCCCCCAAGGCGGGAGTTCTGCACCCAACCTGGGAGGATTTAGGTCAGAGTCGGGCCTGGTTGCAAACTGACATCCTGAAGAACACACTTGGCCTGGTCCTGTTTGGCCCGTAGAGGGTTTTTAAATCACCTCCAAGCCAGGCTTTCTCGGTTATCTATTTAAAAGATAGGGCTGGCTGGGCTCGGTGGCTCACACCCGTAATGCCAACACTTTGGGAAGCCGAGGCAGGAGAATAGCTTAGCCCAGGAGTTCGTGACCAGCCTGGGCAACATAGTGAGACCTCATCTCTACAAAATAAAAATAAAAAATTAGCCGGGCGTGGTGGTGCGCACCTGTAGTCCCAGATGCTGGAAAAGCTGAGGCGGAAGGCTCGCCGGGGCCGGGAGGTGGAGGCTGCAGTGAGCCGTGATGGCACCACTGCACTCCAGCCTGAGCGACAGTGAGACCCCGACTCAAAAAAATAAAAAATCCTAAAAAGAAAAACTAAAGCTGCCTAGGACCTGCCTACCTCGATGGCGCAGGCCTTCAGCCTGGGGTCAGGGAGGCTGGGGGCGGGGGGAGCGCGTCTCTCGAGCCCCTCTCAGGGCCCCACGTCCCTCCCGAGGAGGCCTGGCTGGCCCCGGGCCCTGGCAGGAGCCTCCCTGCTCCAGGTGAGCCGAGGGCGCCAGGCCTGTCCGCAGAGTCCCCTCCGAGCGACCTCGGGGGCACCCAGGCCCCTCCTTGGAGCCTCCGTCTCCCCTTGCGACGCGACCACGGTGGGGATTTAACCCGAGCCTGAGGGCGGGCCCCCTCCTCAGCCGGCCCCGTCCCCCAGGGCCCCCGCACAAGGCCTCGCTCAACGCCTCGGTGGACATGTGCGAGCTGAAGCGGGACCTGCAGCTGCTCAGCCAGCTCCTGCGGCGGCCCGGGAA